TGCGCTTCAATTTTTTTTTCCTTTTTCTTTTCTTTTTTTGAAGAGGTCAAATGTATATGAAGTGCATGTTATCCTGAACTTTTTGTTTGTACATCTTGGTGTCTGATCATCTGCATGAAAGACACAGTAGTGCCATGTCTGAGCTTGTTCTCTTGTGCTTGGTTGATATGAACTTCTCTAGATTGTTGAGTTTTCCCCAGAATAACTTTGGTTAATATTTAGTTATTGGGAGACATCAAAACAAAACATCATGGTGGCCCTTTGTTTTCTTACAGTTTAAATACAAACAACAAAGCCTTGTGGTTTAAAGTTAATTTGTTAGTGTAAATAAATTTCTTGCCAATGAGTATTATTGTTGTTAGACAACGAATGCAATAAAATGAGAAATCCTGAATCTTTATTAGAATTTGTATCGAGTCTTCACTTTCCTGCCCACTTGTTGGTCATTCCAGAACAAATAATAAATGCTGACCACAGCTGGACAGCTGTTGCTGCCTGGGTCGGACTTAGGGGGCGGGGGGAGGGACGGACCTTGCCTTGCTTATTGTTTCCTTCCTTCTGCTCAGTGCTGAGGATTATTGTAATCCCAGCTGCTGGCCAAATTGGCATGATTCACAGGCCTCCGAGTGGATCTCATTTACAATCTGTAATTATGTAAAAAGAAGTAAAAAAAAAAAAAAAATAGAGCAAGGAAGGAGAACAGCCTTTATTTCTTCATATGCAGATGAAGTGTAGTGTGCAGTGTTATATTGCAGGTTGATGTAACAATGGGCTGTCTTCAAACTGATGCTGATCAATGTTTGTCTGTTTAAAAGACCTGGATTGGTTTTTGGTATATAAAACATTTTACTATTTTACACTCAAGTTGCAATGGGCATTTTACACATTCAAAATACAGCAGTTCTTCTGCTGAACTTCTGCTTGAACATTTATTATCTCTTTATTCTTTATTTACTCCATTTTAGTAAAGCATTAAATGAGGGAAGAGCAGAGGCCACAGACTGTCCAATTTGTGTAGTCGTTTCAGTAGATTTACATCTGGCAGTATCTAGGCCAAATACTCTGCACTTAATCTGTCTCACCCAGTCTGTGTTTCCCAGCAGCCGAATCATAAATCTTGCTTTCCGCTAATATGGCCACTACCTGCAAGAAGATAAAAAGAGTCCACAATCCATAAAGTTATTATCTTAATTAAAGTAGGTATATTAAGAGGCTGTTAGTCCACGACTGACATGTAAAATGTGTCAGCTCAGCAGCTTCCTAAGCCAGGAGCCAGCTATACGTGTGTCCTTGCTGTTTGTGCAAGTTGCCTCAGACACCCGCAGTTTGGTTTCTGAAATGCTCAGCACTGCTCCAGACTCCACAGCCTGTAAAAGGTGACAGGTTATGCCCCGCTGCGCGTTGCAAGCCTGGATTTTCCCTGTGCAGGTTACCTTCTAATCGGGAGGCCGGGCTTGAGGTGCATCTTCCTCTGCTGCTCTTTCCGTACAGAGGCTGCCAGGGTGTTTTATCAAGTGGGGATTTCATGCTGAGGGGCAGAAGCTGTACCCCAGCACGGCTTTTGCTAAGAAAACCCATGCGTGCCGTCTCTGTCCTGCCCAGCACCACTTGAATGCGCGGTTTCAACTCCCACCTCCGCACTGCGAGGCCAGGACACCTTAGGGAAGGTTGGCAACAGGCTTTCCGCCCTCCTTGCCTCAGGTTACATTTCAAAATGTTACTGTTAGTTATAGCAGGTACTAAATCCTCCTATGATCTCCCTCCTCTCAAATGCTTTAGGAGAAGATAGGGCCCGTCACATGCAGGTGCTTCTGTCTGTGGGCAGACCGCTAGGAAACATTTCAGTGCAGGAATAGTAAAAAAAGGAGAAAAGAAAAAAAAAAAGCCAGTGACAAGTGAACACATTCTTTATTTTCTGAAAGGCCTAAACCAAGAAAAAAGTAGAAGTTTGACAAGATCCAACAACATGTAAATCTGCTCATTTGAAGATGTTCTAAGCCACTGGAAAACATGAAGTTAATGTTTGATGGGTTTCCTCTACCACTGCCGAGGACAACGCTGGCTGTCACACTTCCACAACCCCAGAGCAAACCCCGGAGCAGCAGAGCGACTGCTCGGTGTTTCAGCTGTGCTACTGCCGCTGCTGCAAAACGCTAACTCTTTACAAGACGGCACTTACTTTACTGGAGAACAAATAGTGGCACAAGCCTAAAATAATTACTTTAAAATGCTAGTGGGGGACGCTGATGGCTAATCACCAGCAAGTTAATAGCCCAACCTCTCCTTATTGTCAGAACTTCCTTCGGAGTGGTATTTTCTGCCTGGGCTCCGGGAACAATGGCTGTTCCTCACAGCTGAAAATGGATTACGAGTTCCTGTAGGAAAGCACGCCACTTCCCAGGGAAGCTGAAAATGTCCTGCAGGGAGAGAAGTTGCTAAGGAAGGAGCAGCAAACCCAGAGTTACAGTAAATTACATTCCCGGGTGCTCGGTGCAGTTGGGCAATGCCAAAGGCAAGTCCAGCAAAGGGATGAGACAAAAGCTGCCCTGGTTCAGGGCTGACTGTGCTCTGTGGAAGAGCTGTCTGTGCAAAAGACTTGAAACTGTGATCCGAACAGATGAGTCCCTGTCACCAAAGCCTCCGCTGTCAGACGATATACCCTGGGCAGCGCCCAAGTCCCCAGGTTAACTACAGGCGTGTTGGAGAGGAGCTGCGAGCACAGTTTGTGCACAGACCCACTCACGCAGCGTCGTGCCTGAGAGAGGAGGTCGATTCACCGCACGATTAACCTTAAAGCTCGTGTCTCCCCCCTGTAGCCATCTCCAGCCACCTGCAGCACAGCGCGTTTGTCTACAAAATGTCACAACCACCAACAAACACTATTCCCACGCGGGGGTGAGGGGCCCATCTGGCATGGCAGCAGCAGGAAGCTGCCCGTACTGTGAAGGCCACAGCCACGCGGCCGTCGGCAGCTCCGTTCTCAGCCCTCGCACAACTCCTTGTGCGCAGGGACGTGCCCAACACCACCACCGCCCGTGTGCCAGCGAGCCAGCGGCGGCGGTGGCGGCAAGGGCCTGGGCTGGAGCAGACTCTCTCTGGGGACGGACAGGCGATGTGGCAAGACCCACAGCCCGCTGCAGCTGTGCACAGGAGGGGGGGATGGCACTATCCCTCCCGTGTGGCAACACAGCCCCAGCCATCAGTCCTGGCATCAGCTCTGCGCTCTGGTAAGAGCTGCCCGCCTCCCTCAGAGAAGGAGCAGTAACCCTTTCGTGCCAGTGGATGAAAGCCATGAGGCTTATTTGTGCCGGAAAGGAAAGGCACAGGAGCCAAGAGGTGTCAGCGCACACATTTGCTGTTCGTGGCCGCTGCCCACCCAGGCCATGGCCCGCAACAACGCCTCCCCTCAGCCACAACAGCAAAACACGACGATAGATGAAGGTCTGCACATATTCCGGCTCCCGTCTCAGCGCTCAGGCCGCTACAGAGCGGGTTATTCGCTCTATCTGGTAGGCAGAAGCATGCCTGTGTTTTTCAAGTACTGAACTTTCCATGCACTGCCCAGGTAAGAGGAGGCCGTGGCTGGCGGTGAAGCAGATGGCAGGAGGGAACTGCAAAGCCAGACCAGCAATTAGCACCCCGGGACTGGCTCTCGATCCTCCTGAGCTCGTGCTTCATGAGCTGCTTGCCTTTTTTCTCTGCGCAGCCATGGAAGAACAGCAGCGAGGAAACACTACCTGAAGGATGGAGAGGGGATGGTGGCCCCCGGGCAGGTGGCACCATTCAGAGGGGCAACCAAGCTGCTGAGAAGGGCCAGTGTGGGCAGGCACAGGCAGCACAGCGGCAACCCTGCGAGGGAGCCACCACCAATAACACGGAGCCTTTAGCTGGATGTCAGCATCACTCACAAAACGGGAGCAGTGATCAGAGGAGGGATCTCAGAGGACAAAAATGCTGCCAGAAGCTGCTCTGTGAGTGAGGACATCTGTACTAACGAAAGAAGAGCTCGATCCATGGGCAGGAAACCAAGTGGTGGCTCAAACAGGGGCTTCTGCCAGACTGGCCCCTTCCTCTGCACGCTGTAAAGCACAAGACTGATTCCCAACTTCAAAGGACCCTCAATTTGGTTTATTGCAAGTGATTGCTAACGAACACCTTTCTAAAAATACCAGTCGATAGAAACCTGGATAGATCTTTGAGCAGTGCACAAGACTATCGGTAAACACCGCTGGATGACCATGAAGCGAAGTGGGGGTGCCCGCTGCCCCGAAACACGGCAGGAATCGGCTCTGTACAGACGGGAAGGTAAACACAGAGGACACGTGACCCACTCTTGGAGGTAGTCAAAGCGCCCAGACGTGCTCCCTTTGCTGTGACCAACACCAGTAATTGCTAAATGCACTTTTCACTGAAGGTGCTCGGGAGTTGTTGCCCATTCTTTAAGAAAAAAGAAAAAAAAAAAAGATTTTTTTTTAACTCCCTTTGGAAGACTTGTTAAGAAACCACTCCAAAGTGATGCCCCCCCTCTTTTCTCAGTAGGACTTATGAAACTGAAATAATGTTAGGAAATGGCCTAAAGGGGAAAAGGGGAAGAAATGATGCTGAAATAACATTTATTCTCCTTCCACTTATTTTAGAAGCACTAGGGAAAACCAACAGGAAGGTTCAGAAGAAGAACCCTTAGCACAACCCCTGAGAAAGCCCAAAGGTCGGTGACAAGAAAGCACACCACACTGGCAGTTAGCAATTCTTGTTTACAAAATCATTTTCCCCCAGGGTGGCGGGGGGAACAAAAACCAACAGAAATCCAGTTGCAACAGATAATTCAATGTCTGACAGTATAGTAATTTGCAATCTGCATTTGAACTTCACAGTCACCCTTTGTTACTGACATGGGGTCCTCCACATTACATAAATAAATTTCTCACCTTTAATTCCATCTCTTTTACTATTGCATATAATGCTCATTTTGGAGAGGAATGCTAAAATACATTTCCACGACTCTAGTTCACCTTTACTGGAACAGTCTTGTCATTAGCAAAGCTAGCGGAAACTAAGTGAGTTCCCAAGGAATTAAATGCTTTCCACTGCAGCAGATCTTACCCGCGAGACGAGCTATAGCTCACAGTAGAGAGCTCTGTGGAAGACTGTGCCGATGAGCAGTTTTCCTTCGTAGACGGATGCCACCGAGGTTCCCTGCAGCACAGAGCCATTGTCGGCGTAGACGCGTGTCACCACCGGCTCCTCCGAGAGGATGTTCTGGATGCGCAGGACCTGCCAGGGGAGGGGAATACATCTGCTGAAACAGCCGCAGGTGAAAATCCTCCATGGATGGAGGGAACATCAGTATGTTAATTGAAACAAATCAGTTTGGTTGATCAGCTGCTGATAACTGCAACCAAGGGATTCCTGTGATAGGGCCACAATTTCTGCTTCAGTGAAGCGTGGTCCATGAAGACTGATTATTTTTTTTTAATTGGTTGTGCAATAGAAACTCCACCCCAGTAAGTAAGGCAGGCAGTCACCCCCCAGCACCAGGCAAATGCAGTTTTTTCCAGCCTAAGTGTCACTTAATACCGTCTTAGTTTCATGCTTTTTCCAGACAGAGTAAACAACGGCCTAGTATCATAAATCTACTGCTATTGAACATGGTAATTTTGAAAAGTGTCTTACGGGAAGCTTCAGACAAGGCTGAAATCAAACAGACACCAACCAGCCACCTGCATTTGCGGCTGCCAGCACGCTGATGCTGGTACCTCATTGATTTTAGAAGGAAAGAAGAATTACAGTGTCACCTACTGATGAACTACACTTGCACAGATAAATCATTCCAGGGCAAATGTTTCTGGTTGTGCTTTGCACTCAGTCAATTATTTTTTATTTGGCAAAGAGGTGCTGGCTCGGTAATTAACACAGTTCATCAAAATCTGATTGCGTGGCCACAGCTGCACAGAAACCAGCCTGAGGAGTCCAGAATGACTGAGCTACTGGGCAGAAATTATTCAGTTGTCTCCTAAGGCTCTGAATAGGTGTTTGTTAGTGAGTATATGCTGTTCAGGCTTTCCGCTTGGGAGAAGAAGCTATGAGCTGGAAGCCAGCTTGGCCTTTGCTTTCACAAAGGCTGCCCATGCTCTTCTCTGTGTAATGCAGAGTTACGTTACACCAGGGGGACTTGAACAGAGCAACTTTCTGGCACAGACATGGCCAAGAGACCAGTGATGTCTCCCAAAAGGCACCTCAGAGGCAGGCGGATTTTCAGGATCGTTGTAGAACAGCTTCATCCCATTGGGATGACATCCTGTCCAGATGTCTCCAGTGTGAGGGTCAATAGACAAGTTGTCAAGCAGAGTGTCCAGCTGCAGCGTCTATCCATCACAGAGGAAAAAGAACAAGAGAGAAGTTAAAGCAATTAGAAGTCCTGGTAGCACACTATAACATAATCAATAGACTTGTCCAAGACTCTCATCTAACATAACTTAGACTGATTTTTTAAAAAAATATTTGCTCCCTCAGTGCTGTTTTTCTTTTCCCACAGTATGCTTCATCCCCTCCTCCATGTCATGAGAAATCTCCTTGCTGCTCCGAGCTTCCCCCACCGGCTCATTCACACCTACGCTCATGTTGATTCCTTCAGTGCTTTGTGGCCTGACCCACACTGGCTGAGGCAGACTTCCACCACGGCTCTACAGCACACCGGAGGATCCCTCTCCGGTTGATGGTGTGAGGGTGGGAGCCCTGACACTCTATAACGGGGCGCAGAGCACCTCTGCAAACCCACAGTGGGAGCCGTCCAGAACAGACCTTCATACACGATCAGATTGAAATCTCAAACATTCATGGGGACTAATCTGTCCAATATTCATATATGCCTCTTTTTAATGGAACAGCAGCACCTTACCTTCACATGGGTTAAATTCCAATTAGCATGTTTTTCCATAACATGGACATTATGATCAAATACATCTGCAATGTAGATGTACCTTCAAAAGAAAGCACCTCTTAGCAATGTGTATAGGTAAGCAGACACCAAAACCAGTCAGTCCCTCCTGTGCAAGCCCAGCTCCTCCAGCAAGGAAGGCCAGCCCGCAGTTCTCACGTAGCAACAGACATTGCAAGCAGGCCACAGGGCACTGAACTGAAGCCAACCTGCTGAGACGCTAATGTAGTTTCACACTGTGCCAGTTCTTCCATTACGACACTGAGGAAGGCCTTGGATCGTGAGAACCACAAATATGCTTTATTTTTCATTTAAGATCACCTGTCTAAACCACACGACTGGTTAATTCAGTCCTACAGATTTTGAGACTGTAGAGCATTCCCCACTTCCAGAAATTCTGCCCCATTAATCCTCACAGGTAATGTACACAAACTTCTGTATCGATTAACATGCAGCAACATTTGATCTTATTGCATATAAACCACCATGCAAAGCAGCAAACATTGCCTCTAGTTAAAGACTGAGACACATGAATTCTGTTGACAATCCCTTCATCTCACTTACATTGCACAGGTTGCACTTTGCCTTACACGGGCCAGCGTTGACACTTTGACCACAGAGGTACAGCCTGTACAAATGAGGATTTGGGAATTCTTTTGTGTGATTGAACAAAATCTGAGGCAAGGTGAAACTTACTTTCTGTCAGGTGAAATGTTAATTCCATTGGCTGAATAAAACCCAGCTGCTACTTCTTTAACTTCTTTCGGACTGTAGTAAACAACATTTGACCAAGTTAAACCCAAGAACATCTCCAAGAACATCAAGATGAAGTCAGAGAAGTAGTGGTCATTGGTAGCATAGAAGCTGTCTGGTCCCATAGCTACTATATCGTTCACACTAAAAAAATAAAAAGAGAGGGAGAAAATTAAATAAAAGAATGAAATGAGACATATGAAGGAGCATTTTAGGACTGCCCCGAATCCAGCCAGGATATGGTCATCCCATGACATAAAGGGGCTGCAATTACAGATGGTACTTTAGACAGATGCTATGTTATTTAGACCCTTTGTACTTCTATCCTCTTTTACATGGGCAGGACTGTGCAGTGCAGAACAGGACCACAGGGCATCAGCTACAGATCTGGCTACCTGTTTACAAGCCCATGACTTTTTTCCCTTTTGATTACATTCAACTGGAAACTAGAGAACAGGTAGGAGTTGTGACAACTTCTTTTTTTTTTCAGGCCCTGTTTATCTTATAATCATTTTGCAGTTAGGACAGACCAAAAAAATTTTGTATGCAACAAAAAAAAAAAGGAAAAAGCTAAAAGTAGGTTTATTTTTAAAGTGTAGCAAATTCAGAATAATAGACTATATGAAGATTCTTATCTGCAATGATCTGAGAGTGGGTTACATGAGAAAAAGAGAAAAGGATGCCAAGCTAATTCACTGGCGGCAACCACAGCAGCGCTTAAGACTGATTTAGTGATACAACTATTAAAAACCTCATTTACATAAGAGATTGGAGAAACACAGGTTTTGATTACACAGATAAGAAGTAATCAATAAGAGAAACAGGAAAGCTGGTTCAAGAGAAAATAACTCATGATAATAACACCCTAAGACCAAAATCATCCTAGTTTGGATTTTACCAAAGCAGCCTGTTCTTCCAGGGAAAGACGGTGTTTGGCTCCAGTACCTGGTCAGAAGGTCATGCCGAATGGTTTTCAGGTGTACAAGAGAATTGTCATCTTCTACAAACTTAAACAATTCTACTGTGCTCTTCTGATGGGGGTGATTCGCAACAAAGAGGTACACGGTGTCATCTTAAAAAGAAAAAAAAAGAAAGGGAAAACAGCTGAATTTTGCCAGATCTCTGCAACAGGTTGAGTCACTGAGCACCTGCAGCTCTGAAGCTCTAGCACAGTCCACATCGTGGGTTTGGTGCGTTTCCCTCGCGGCTCCTCGGAGGCAGAAGGACAAGTACCAAAGTAATACAGGCTGCCACTGCAACTGGATCCAGATCTCCGGCTACTCTTATCCTGGGCTCACTCTACAGGGAACTGCTATGTAAAACACATTTTTGCTATTTCTACCAAGGAAGAAAGAAATCATGGCTCCATCCTCGTGCCCAAGCCACTGGGTTTTGCAATCTGATGCACTGTAGTGATTGGTTGCGTGAAGTAGCCAGAGTCAGCTGGGAAGGAGGGCTTGTAGCCCAGATGGTTTGGGCTCTCTGGTTTATTGACCACGTCCTCTGAGAACGCCAAAGGAGCATTTTTCTCCTGTACTCGGCGTGAGGCTGCAGCCCCTCTGCCCAGCCCTTCTGGCGAGACCCTAAATTAGCCACCACTGATTTCTCCATCACCTTCCCTTAAAGGGTGACTCTATGGGGACACAGGTCAAGCTGCAGCAGTGGGTCTCCTTCTCGTAGTATTTGCAGACTTCTAATTGCCCTGCTAAAATCCCTAGTGAAAGGACAGGGGGAAGAGAGAGGAAGGAGAGCATGAAGGGTATTTTATTGGTAGTCAGAGCCTGCCATAGGAGAACGTGTCTTGAAGATGAGAATATGACCTCATGTCTTGGCCACAGAGTACCAGAGATTTTAGTAGTTTAACAAAGATTTGATAATGTATAGTTTAGTTACAAACATCTCCATTCTGGTCACTACTAGTTGGTGAAGCAAACATCTCCTGAAAACCCTTGACCCCAGGGTGAGATAGACGTAAACCGGTAAAATAAACTTTGTGTAGTTTCCAACTCCTAAAACTTTTCCCATGTTTTCTTTCCTTCCAATATATAGAACATCTTTCTGTTTCAGACAGTCTGACATTATGTGCAAAGGCATTTGCTTGAGCAGCTGACTTTTAGAAAAGAGCCCAACAAAGATAAAAAGCCCCAAAACCTTCTTCTCTCCAAGCAAGCACAGGCTATTGGGGGTGCAATGCAAAGCCACGAAGGGATTTCTATTTCTGCTCTTTAGGCTGAGATTAGCCACCACCTCAGGTTAAAGGTATCTTTACCTTTGTCTATGTAGGTGCTGATTCCATGGGGGTTAAACGATGCCAGATCAAACCCTCGGCTGATTCTCAGTTCCACTGCTCTGGGATTGTCTTCATTCAAATCCATCAAAAATATTTCACCGGGCTTGTCTGGCGCAAGGCTCTTTAGTCCTGGATATTTTAAGCCCTGTAAAATCAACACATGAGTAAATCATTAATGGATGAAAGGTAAAGGGAAGCATCGCAAGGCTTTTCAGCTGAAGCCTTGTTCAAGCTTGCAAGCACACATCAGGGTGTCCCGCTGCTTCAGCATGCCATGCCACAGTGCTGGCAGAGGGACCGGCTCTGCTTTCCCTGGAGAGCCCTTAATCACAACACCGAGGGACCAAGCTGCGTAGCGGGCACGAGGAGCCATGTCCTGGGAACAAGGCAGCACCCACCACCCACTGCAGCCCCCCGCCTGGGTGGGCGCTACCCGTGTGTCAAACCACTCCGGGAACAGACATGCTGGGGCCAGGGAGGGACACAAATTGGAAGTTTGTCCGAATGCATCCAACATGGTAAAGCCACTGGGAACAGCAGTGGTGCGACAGCTCACAATTTCTGTCACGAATTTTGGGATCATTTGCCGGCTGTCCCTGGAGCACGTAGATGAAAACACCAGCTTTTGCTTTAGAAAATAATCGCTGGCCCTCCTGATTGCAAAGAAAAGCTTGAAAATCTATGCCCTGAAGGCTACAAAAAAATCAGGAACAACAAAATCAACACACAAAATCTGATTATTTTTTCTTAAAGATAGGGAATTAACACACCTTCTTGATAAGAGAGAGGTTTATCATTTCAACGTTTCAAGTAAGCAGCATAAAAGAAATTCAAGGCTACATGGGCAGATAAGCAAGCGCAATAGGATACATGTGTCAGAGCCACCACCACCACTTCAGTGTCAAGAAGTGCACTTGCTCAAGCAGAGGAAAACACCAGCTGAGCCGACACAAGTCTGGGCAGTTCCTACTGAGTCAGCCAGCCTTGGAGAAAAAAAAGGAGTCCATCCTGCAATTTTCACCTATGGCTTCAGTCGCCAAGGAGGTGGGAGGGGGTGCGGGCACTTACGGAGCTGATGAAAGCCAGTCCATTGGGCAGTATGTCGATGTCTTCTGAACCAGTTTCTGCAAGACACCAATAAACAGGAGTTTTCAGACGACATTAAATTTCCCCCATCGAAAAAACTCCTTTTTAGTACAATTCCAGCCCTCATGAATGTTCCTTTCTGATATGACTGCACAAGCAATGACGTTCAGCAGAAAAGTTGGCATCGCATTAAAAGTGGTAGCAGAAGGCAGCAGCACGCCGGGTTAGGAAACAGTACTGGGGTTCACATCGTTCTGGGGTGATCCCTCCCAGCTCCATGTGCCCTGGGGTGTTGCAGGATGAATCACCCGCTTTTGACAACAGTGTTCTGCAGCAAGCAATTAGCGCGGACGATGAGATTTTCAGGGCAAGACCGTACCCATCACTCAGCCTGCACACTTGCATAAGGCAGCTCTGGGACTTGTGCACACTAATTCTTCTGGTTGAGCTGGGACACTTCACTAAGATGGATTGCCAAATATTTAGTTAAAGGTCTTGAGTGACAGAGAACCTATATCTTTAACAGCTAAGGGCTTTAACAGTTAGACCACACTTTTAACTGTGGGTAATCATTTCCAATATTGCCAGTTCCTGTAGCTCCTGTAATATTTTTCCCTACTAGGAAAAAAAAATAATCCCATTAGTAAGAACACTAGGGCAATTTTAGGCTTTGATCAAGCACTCTCCACAGAGCTTTTAGTCTGATGCTGAAGCATGTTTGCCATCCCACATTTTCACCACTCCTCTGAGAAGCCTCCCCTCTCTTCTTCAAATCACCAGCACAAACAGCATTCCCCATAAGCCACTTTCCAGATGATGGCTGGATTAAACCTACCTGGGAGCTTTTGCTTAAAGGCGGAAACTCTTCTGCAGGTTTTGTTTAATAGGGCCACCAACACAAAGGTTTTCCACCCAGTTTCCCCTGTCTCTCCGCACGCCCTCCTGCTTGGCCATAGACCACCCATGTGACCCTGTGTGGGTCACACCATCCCTGGCATCTCAGCACCTCCTCCTGAGGGTAAGCACCTGCAAATTCGAGCTGAGTTTATAATTCGCTTTTATGTAACTCCCATTTATTGTGGCACTAATTCGCCTGGGCTGTAATTTATCCCGAGGCCACCCCAAACTCACCTGCCCAGGCAAGTTCCTCCACAATTCAGCCCTGGTCAGATGTGGTGGCAGGACTTTACCCAGAGGAAAAGGGACAAGGCCAGTTCCTCCTCAGCCTCAGCAAGCCCCTGCTCCACCCCATTACAGTAACGAACGGAACATCCCTGCCTTCTGAAGAGGAAAAGGTCTGAAGATGCACTCCGGGAGCAGGCAGCCAGCCCATTATCCCACCTCCTGGGGTTTGGTTCTGAATTTCGACTGGGCGCAGGCAGGAGGCAGACACCTGTACTGATGCACCCAGAAACATTTAGAGCCTGCGTTTTCCAACTAAAAGTTTGAATTTGGGGGAGGTTTCTCAGCTCTTTTTTTTTTTTTCATGCCCTGGTTTAAGCAACAGCTTGCCCCAGCTCTAGGTCTCTCCGAGTCTGGCTTCATTTATAAGATGGGGATAGTGGTGATTCCCCACTTCCCAGGATTGCTGCAAAGACAACAACATAAATAAATGCGGAGAGGCTCAATTACCATAGTGCCGTGAGCTGCACAGACAGCTTTTGCTGGCAGAGCACGCTGGTGAGTGAACAAACAGAGATATAATCATTTATCGCTACAGAATTAGCGAAGCTGCCAAGCAGAAAGATGAGCAGTCTTATTGGGAGTGGATAATTAAAAAGCACAAGTTTCTGGTGGAAGGAGAGCCCTGCACCCAACTACTTGGAAAGAAACTGCCCAGCAAAGCACATTTTGGCCACTTTTCAGCCAGGTCCTGGAATGTGTGGAAGAGAGCGAGCGCAGTTGGAAAAGCAGTGAAATGCTGATTCAGCGCGATCCTGCTGAGCCGGCACCGCTGAGGCTGCGAGGAGGGGATGGAGACACAGAGCCAGCCGCAGGCAAGCTCCCGGGCTCTCCTGCAGGCCCCGTTTTGGGAGGGCTCTGGGCTGTTGTCACAGGCGCCATAAGGACCAGGAGAGTTAGGAACTGATTTATTAGGTACCAGTTACCTGCACTATACTGCTTAATCGTATCTCCAAGCCCAGCTTCTCCATGGGATTATCTGAATAGGTAGTATTTAAAAAAATTAAAGATACCAAGAAAAATTACTGCCTACCCTAGAAATACTACTTTTTTTATTCTTTATTTTATCTTAGTATGATGTATTCCGCAGGTGCATCTGACAAAAAAACCCACCTGGATTTCATGTTCAAAAGCAAGTAACTATTTTGCCTATATCCCATGAATTGTTCCAAGATGCAAGTATTTCTAGCAATTTCTATAGTAGCTTCTTGAACTTTAGGAAGTAGTTCAGGACATATGGTTAGTTTACTATAAACCAGATTATTTTGTTTGGAGCTGATCCAGCTCATTACCCACGTCCCACTGTAGAGGCCAGAAGGACTATTTCAAATATTAAAATAAAGACAGACTGTGTATTCAACTTTGTCATAGCATTTTAAAGGAAGAAGGCCTAGGAAGACCAAGATGTCCATGTCGACATATCCGTGATGTCCGTGAATCCTTACACAAAGTCACCCACAGGAGCACACTCACAGATATGAGTACAGCAAAAGCCCTGATTTGAATAGTGCGACCTATGCAGCATCTAGATGTTAGGGCTCCTTGGTCTCCCTGAGTAACAGAACCCCCCTAGTCATATTAAATGAATGTTGGAAGATGTTTGCAGGAACATACCAACTTTTAAATTTGTGCCAATCCTTTGTTATTTCTGTTCCTGCCACATCGGACCTGCTGAGTGAAGTTTTGGCATTTTAAGTTTTCTGAAGAGCAGCAGAAGGCAGAGCGAAGGCAAGGCGAGGTGCAGAGCTCCGTGTCAAGGAACAGTGTTACAGGAGCACAGCGAGAAGCAGAAACGAAGCTCTGTAAATTGATCTGCCGCCGCCTCCGAGCAGAGCTGGGTTCTCAGAATTCACTTAATCTCCATGCAAATGTCAAGCACCAAAAGTGAGATATTGTTCAGAAATTAAACACAACTGTAGTTGCGATATCCAGCTCTCCTTCTTTCCTCAACAGAGTAATCATGTTGCAAAAAGTCTTGCAAAGATTGCAATAGTGATATCCCTAAAAGAACTACTTAGAAATTATTTTTTATATGAATCACTATCAAACAAGCATTATTCAGAGTCTTGTATGAGTAAATTACAGCTAAATCTAGATGATCTGAGTAGTTTTTTCAAATGCAATTTCTTCTGCACATAACCTCAGGGAAAGGAACTCTGCACACGCTCATTCATGGCAGTAATTTGACTTTACAAGAATGTTTGATTCCTGACACAAGGAAGAAGCTAGATTTCTGAAATCAACACAGTGACTCGGCAAGCTCAAAGACAAGGCTCTTAAAGCCCACCCAATGACTTTTTGCACTTGCAAAATCCAGACAAATTTCAACAGGATTCAAAACGTTTCTGAAAACACTAAGGAGGAGAAAACTCCCAGCCATTAAGCCTGTGTTAAGTTTAAAAATTATAATTTGGGGGAAAGGGAGACGCAAAAAAAGTGATCAATTTCAAAGCTATCCCTTTTATAGTCTGGTTATTCTAAAGGGAGAGAAAAAAAAAACAACAAAAAAACCAAAACCCAACAAGACAGAAACATTGCCATGTGCTAAACATGTGACCCAAAGTACAAAGTCAACATTTCAGTCCCCTCTGTTAAACCTCTCCGCAAACCAGGCTAAGATGACAAATATTGCCCCTTGCTCTTTGAAACCACACAGCCCGATGGCGCAACCGCCCGAGCTCCTGCCGGCTCGCGGCACGGTGCCCTACCAGCCCCGCTCCTAAATCTCCACCAAACGAGGCGCTAAGGCCGGCCAGCCTGGCTGACATTTCCCAGGCAGGCTGCCCTCAGCTCCTCCTTCCCCACATGCCTCTCTGGTCTTCTCCCAGAGCTTCTACCCTTGGGGCATCTTCAAGATGTCACCAGCTGACAGCCAGCTGTAGGTACCTGCCTGAAGAGCAAGCACACCCTTACCGAAAAGCCAAATCATTTCCTAAGTGGCTTAGCAAAGGAGAAGTGTTTGCAAGGTACTCATTTTCAAAAGGAGGAACAGAAACATTAAATACCGAAGGCGGAAAGTGTTATACCAAACTAGCTCGTTTTTCAGTATCGTTTTCTTCCAGCAGTTTCTCCCTCCCTCAAAGTCCAAGTAACAAATGAAAGTCAAATTAGCACTTTGCTTTTGGGGTCAGGCTTGGAAGCTGGCTTTAAGAAGCAGTTGCAAAATAAGGCTGGACAAAAGCAACGCACTCAGTTATTTCGAGCACGTACCGATCCCTTTAATGAGCCGGCAGTTTGGGAGCGTTACTGGGGCCACTTCCCGCGAAGCATTGAGTCTGTTCCTGCAAGAGGAAAGAGGAGGGTTAACAGCATACGGGCACTTTTAAAACAGGTAACATTCCTAGCGTAACTTTCTCTTAGTTTCATTGTCTGCCATATCACAGCAACAAGTCAGCCGTAAAATACTGAATAAGCAAAAACCAAAACTGACAACAGCAATTGCTCCAAATCACCGCGATGGTTACACATGTCCAGGGATTAAGTGATTCTCCTACACTGAATATCTTCAGGAACCTGACTTTGTTCACAAGCTTTGGGAACAAGCTTTCATGACCCACCACAGCTCAAACGCTAAAATAACATAGCCACACTTTCTTCAGGTTTCAGCCACCTAAATATAGTAGCACCCTGCAGTACGGACCAGCATTTCTGATGAAGAGAGGGCGACCTTCTACCCCAACCCGCTGGCTATTTTCGGTGATAGGCCACCAGCGGTTGCACTTTCTTCTTTTCTTAGTCCACATTCAAAAGTAGCGCTAGCGTCATTGCAAGGCAGCATTACCCATTTCCTAACAGGTAGGATTTGGTAGTAATTCAAGTCCAGGGTAATTCAGCAATTACCCTGCCCCTTCCTCTTCTCTCCTGGTACCCACCCAGAGCATTATCTTTCAGCAGTGCTTATTTCATTCCTGAATACCCACAAAATTCCATCTCTGGCGCACACTTTACTGGACAAGCAGATACAGACATGTACCTACACATTAGTTCCTATTTCTCCATCTCCTCCATTCCAAATTGTCTACAAATCTATATGAAAGGCACCTCACGACCGGGACTGCTGTGTTTCACCGTGGTGGTCCGCACTGCCATAAGCAAATATGTCCCGTTTCTATGTAAAAATGTCAAGCTAGTGTAATAGAATATGTCTTTCTTTTTCTTTTTTTTTTTCCCCCCAAAAAAGTTAGTTTTTAAACTAACTTAGTTACTCTTTTGCATGCCTGTCACACGCACGAGTTGAGGCTGTACTTGCTCCCACCACAGGAAATTCTGAATGCAAAGATCCCATAGCGAAACCCAGCTATGTTTATGTTATAGTTTCAGGCATAAACTAAACAGCAGTATGAGTCTGTGGTATGAAAAATACGCAGTACAGCTGAGCACTGTACGGTATGTCAGTCCTGCATTTTTTTTAATCGCTTAATTACGTATTCTAAATTGTTTCAATGCTGTATCGTTGACACAGGTTGTTAACATAAGGCCAAGAAAAAAAAAAAAGAAGAAGAAAAATGGGAAAAAAGGGCAGAGGACAGCAAGGGAAAGGAGCCAAGTTAAACTCTCCCAAGCCCTCTCCCCCAGCTCAGGGGTCCTGATGGAGAATTACAGCAGCTCCCAGCCCACAGGCAGCACAGGAGGGATATCAGGACCCCCCCCTCACCCTCCGGCATCCCGGCACAGCCGAACCCACCAGGCCCTCGAGGCTGGCTCAGGGCGATGGTGCCTGAAGCTTGCGCTGCTGCCTGCTTAGGGCTTTGCCCTTTCCTATTTGCATCAGGTTTTCCTGGGCGGGCTGCAAGCCACCCAGTGCCCAAAGCGCAGCCGGAACTCAGGCAGCAGCCAACGAGGGATGATGATATCCCGACAGCATTCCCAGGGAAACACTTCATGGGCTGGAATGAGAGTAATTCAAAAGGACACGGGTCGCAAGCCTGCAGCGTATATAGAGGCTTTTCCAAAATGTGTCAGTTTATCTAGCTCAGACAGCCTTAGCTACAAAGCCAGATGGCCGAGATAACTAACTGGCCGTCCTGAAAACCCAGCGGACCTGCAAACTGTGGGGGATGCAATTTCAAAAGAAAGCAGGAATTTTGCTACTTGGTGTAAGGCCAGTGCACGGCGCCTTTCCCACCCGGTTCCTCTTTCCCATTTCAGTCCTCCACCCGCTGTCCCACTTCGCGGCACACAGACCACAGGCATTCCCCTTCCTTCAGTGGCAACCTGTTGCATATTCAAAGACCTCTCTCTCTTTCAGTTTTCCTCCTCTCTAGACTAACGCAGTCCCGGATCTTTGGTTTGTTTTTTGGTTTTTTTTGCTCCTGACAGGACTGAAAATCACCTCATTTTTGTTTGTGCTCCCAATTCTTTTCAAACTGTCAGCATCTTTCTGGAAGCACGCTGCTGTTTTGAACACCGCATGCAAGCTGAGCGTCATATCAGTAGAGTGTTATGAAATGATAACATTGTGTGTGTGTATATAAATACATATATATGAACAATTCTAGCATATGCATATTGTTCTGAGGAAAACAGTAACATGGCATAATTTACATTCAAGTTTTACAAATTGGCTCAGCCCTTTCTTCAGAGAAGAATTAGCAACTTAAAATGTCAACAGGGCAATTGGTGTAATTTCAGTTGGTAACACACACGAACTTCACCTGTTTCCTCCTGCACAAGCCCTACTCAAGTCCATTTGGTAGTTATCAACGGTGTAAAAGATTCATAAACAAACCTGATTTAAAAATTAAGTTTGTCAGAGATTTGTAATAATTCTTCAAGCCTTATCTTTTAAGCATTTCATGGATTCTTGTATCATACTATCTAGACACAATATAGCAAACTCTGAAGGAACAGCAAAAAGTCTTTGTTGGATTCCTGCCTTCTGGGTGGGGGATGGAAACAGCAAGGCCTGGCAAGAGGTGCCACCACCCACTGTTTCTCCTCTCAAGGCTGTGCTAAAAGATTTTAGAGTACTTTTTGTTATCCGAAGTTGTGTGCTTCCAAACTCTGCAACCGCATTGAGACTGCTGCTACGCTGTAGCTTGCTGAAAACACAGCACAGGGGAAAAACCCAAAGAGAGCTACAAAGACTGGGGGAATCCCATTTCCATCAGGAGATTCTGCTTTACCAGATTCCCAATATTGCATTTGCTAATTTGATTTGGGGTGGGGTGCGGGGTTGTCACTGTGCTTTGAAATGGTTTGCCCTACTAAAGCCTGGGAGCATTTTCCAGCTCTGCTATCCCAGCTTGTGCAGCTCCAGGGCAGGAGGGTCCTGTTACCACCATGGTCATCACTAATGCTTTGCGGTGGATTTCGTGCAAGATGCAGACAGATCTATGTGAGGTACCTGGGTCCAGGGAGTATAATCCTCCCTCTGTAATTAGCTACAATTACTATCTACCCAAAGATCAATTAGCTGGATGTCATCGCTTTGAAGTCAGGCATTTGGAGTCCTTGTGGGCATGAACAAAATTATAATGAGGTAGCTGCTTTGCAACGCAGTAATGCACCATCCCTTTTCCAGCCTGAAACAACCAGTTACGTGCTTAGTCGCTTTCAGGACAGAAGCTGGTGTAACACCAGTGTTCACATTCACACTCACAGCCCATCCATCAGCATGATATAGCTGGGTATTTTAGCTCACAGCAAGTGAGGTCCCAACTTAAGATCACAGAAGCCCATGCTCCTTTAGAGGAAACCTCACATACACAGGGGCTGTAGTTATCCAGAGGTCAGCTTCAGTAGAAAATAACGCAAGAGTTTCTGGCAACCTGATTTCCACTTACTGTTTGACCAATGGGCAGGAGATGAGATAAATTCGCAGGTACCAGTTTTGGCACACCCCCTGTTAACTGCAGCCTCCGCAAAAACAGAGGTACCAGCCCCCAGGCCCCAGGGCACCCTCTCCCTTCGGCCTCCTTGACCCCAGCATCTTGCCAGGGAGGATTTCACATCTCCCTTACCGCAAAAGGACATTTCTACTGGACAAACACTCCAGAAGTTAGTTTATCTCTCACGGAGGACGAGAAGGGCACGGCTGAGCAAGCCAGTGCCCGGTCCTTCTCTGGGGAAAACCGGTTCCCTTGATAATGATGATGATACAGCGATGATGACGGTGATGATGATGAACCCTTCCCCTCTGGCCGCAGCCGTGCTTGTGCAAGGGCAGCTACTCGCTGAAGTTACGCCCCAGAGAAGGAGTTGAAGTGCCCCCACGCTCGGAGCGGTGCACCCCGCACCCCCGTGCCCGGTTCCCCCCCGCGGCGGCCACCGGCTGTCCCCCCCACCCTCCCGCGAGCTCGGCCCCATCCCGCCCCGCCGGCACCGGGGTCCCTCAGCTCCGGGGACCCCGCAGCCCCTCCCCCCCGAGGTCCCCCGGAA